TATGTTATATGTGTTGGTGTGGAACATAAATATTCTATATTCTTTAGATTTATGCAAAGTTTGATTTAAGCCTATAAGTATAAAGATGGTGCTGTTAAAAGGAGAATTTCATCTAATTCTGGTTGGCAAATACAACTAACATATTTGGGTGTGGGGGGGATTCACTTAAGAATTCTAGAAGTGCTTATAACTCTTTCAAAGATGTTTCCACATTAGTATTTAAAAAATAGTCAACCCTACTTAAGAATTACCTAGCACCGGAGACGCCTCTGCAGCAACACATCTAGATAGATGGGTTTCAGACAGACTGTATCGCACCTTTTGAGCCAGGAAAGTATATATTTTACTAATATCAAAGATTTTAGGATATTTCAAACCAGTTTCCCTTAGGATCAATGGTTTGTGATTTGTTTCTCGCTTTGAAAATTAGCATGTGCCACCCTGGCCAGTTTGCTCAGTGGTTAGAGCGCCGGCCAGTAGACCAGAGAGTCCCCGGTTCCATTCCAGCCAAGGGCACATACCTCGGTTGCAGTTCATCCCCAGGCCCCAACAGGGGTCCTGCACGTGGCAACCAATCGATGTGTCTTTCTCTCTTTCTCTCTCTTCCTCCTACCCTCCCTCTCACTCTATCTCAAGATAAATGGAAAAATATCCCTCAGTGAGGATTAAAAAAGAGAAAAGAAAATTAGCATGTGCTTAAAATCCATTTCAATTGTATCCATTTTTGACATTTGACATTAAAAATAGCTACACTAAAAGAGAAAAAAATAATTGTTACGTTGCCAAGCAAAAAGTTAAATATTTAGACTTCCATGAAAACAGCGTGATGCTCCACCGGATTTTCTGATTTATATTGTACTCTTAAGACTCGCCCAGAGAACCAAGCGTGACGCAATCCTCACCCAGAATTCCCAGCACGGTGTCTGTAAGCTGTTCACCTGAAAACCACATTCATAAACTCACAGCCATGTGAGCCTTTCTGGATGTCACCAGTGTATATTGTTCTGTATCTATCACAAAACTGCTAAGAAGTTATGAGTTACAGAAATGCCTGAGCAGAGTTAACACAGAAATGATCATAGACCAAAAATTCTGGTGGCCAAAGTGTGATCCTTTCCCAAGAATTTAAAACGTGGGCAGGGAAAAACATAGTCATAAAAACAGATGGATGTCGATTCCACATCATTCTGTGGTCTTTAAAATATTCTTCCAAAATGAATCCGGGCTGAAGGAACTTGGTGTGAGCCGACCAAAGGCATGAACAACTCTTAGCATGTCGCAGCCACTACCCACCAGGAGGTGGCAGTAGAGTGCAGCTGCAGTCCCATCTCTTCCTCGAGGTTGGTGCTGGGGTTGTAACACCAAGAGGAAGAAAGGCCAAAGCTAGTTCCCTAAGACAATTCGCTGTGAGTAAGCCGCACAGAACATAAAAAGCTGCCTAAAGGAAAAAACAAAGATGCTGATTTTAACCAAGTTAGGTCATCTATTCCATCGTAGTAGTCTTTTATGCAATAAAAAGACGGAGAGCCAAATTTATAATTCTATTCCTTCTTTGTACTTAATTGGGATATTAAGAAATCACCTTTGGCCCTGGCCAGTTTCTCTCAGCAGTTAGAGCATTGGCCTGTGGACCGAGGGGTGGCAGGTTTGACTCTAGGTCAAGGGCATGTACCTGGGTTTCAGGTTTAACCCCAGGCCCTGTTTGGGGTTGTGCAGAAGGCAACCAATCTATGTATCTCTCCCGCATCGATGTTTCTCTCTCTCTCTCCCTCCCTCCCTTTTTTCCATTCTATCTGGAAATCAATGGAAAAATATCCTCGGGTGAGGACTGAAAAAAAAAAAAAAGGAAATCACTTTTGGGATTTGGTTTCCTGATCTGCAAAATGAAGTTGAACTATTACTGTTACTGTTTTTACATGACTGAGACACTTGAGAATTACCCAATAAATATCCATTGTCACAGCTCTCTGACAAGGCTGATGATGGCACCTGTCATAAGACAGGACATGTGACTGTGGAAATGTGGATTCCTTTATGAGGGGCACAAACAAGCTCTTAGTCATCATCTCATCCAACTCCTTGATTTCAGAGATCAGAAACCTAAGGTGCATATCCAAGGTTCGATAGTCAAAGCCATCACCAGAAAGACACAAATGTATCTATTAATGCTCCTTATTCCTCTAGTGACCAAATACTTTCAAATAAGTAAATTCAAATACTTTAATGGTCATCTTTCCTCAAAACTGGCTCCCAGAATACACATTCACATGGAAATGATTTCTGTTAAAGGTAAGCTTAGGGAAGTTCTAACACTCGCCATTATAGTAGATGCCCGACTTCCAGGCTAGTAAAAGCTGTGCTAAATCCTGGCCTGAGAATGTGAACAATGCAGAAAACTGGGGATTCGGAAAAGAAGACGTAAGGGAGGATCCTTTCAAAGGAGACGAAGAAAGAGAGTGGGGAAGGTGGGTGGAAGACAGACATTACTGGCAGGCAAATCCAGGGACACCCGTTCTTGCCACGAAGGGGCCTATGGAATTAGAGAGCCATCTACCTCTGGCAACAGCCCTATTTTTGTTATTGTCAAAGGGATGATTCATTTAAGTGATTTATGAGATCAACTGAATTGAATCAAACTAGTAAAATTATAATAACAATAACAAAATGGTGCTGTATTGATTTTAAAAACAGATTGTTTTATATTAACAAGCAATCTGATTTTTAAAGTTGTATTCACATGTTAGCACAAGGAAGCAATAAAACTGCTTTTACCAAGCCCTGGCTGCCCCATGTAAACGTCTAATACTCAACTTAAAAGTATTAGAATGATCTAAATATTTGTAAATAGGCGCCCCATTCTTAGAGCACAATGAAATATATTTTACAAAACGTTCCCTTCAGGCAAGAACAAATAATACTTATTTTTTGTAACTTCGTGACGCACTGGAAATGGTGCTGTGACTATTTCTGTGGCGGAACAAACAGCACCAACCCTGATATGTGATTTGAAATATGGTGGCTTAGATTTTGTCATAGCTACATTTTTATATACAGCGCGTTTGAGTGACTAACATGAGCAGGTTCGAAAGCATGTGGCTTGCATGTATAATCTTTGGCCAGAAATTTTACTCCTGGAAATGTGTTCTCGTGAATGGTTCAAAATAAGAAAATCGCTCTTTGTATAAAATGTTCATAGAATTGTTATTTAAGATAATGAAAAAAGGCTAGAACAATCTTAACTTCCAAACAGAAAGTAAAGTGGTTAAGAGAACTAAAGCATATCTATATACACATATGTGAGGGAGTATTACTTTGCACTGATTTAAAATGAAAAAGACTGGAAAACTTTTACAGAATATTAATAGCCATGAACATATCTTACTTCAGCATTAAAAATTATGTACATATGATTGGACAAGAAATGGAAGAAATGTACTAGCATATAGGCTTATACATGACTTATATTTGCCTCTTTTCATCTATTTAAATTTAAAAACATGTTAAGTGATCTTAAAATGGCTGAAAAAATGGCTGTCTTCATTTTTTAAATAGTATATTTTATCATTTTAATAATAGATGCATTGTTAACAATGTTATATTGATTTATAGGAGTAAATTGTACTCTCTTAAGTCAAACATGTGTCCAAACATTTTTATCCATTCTATAGCCTTAAGCTGACGGACTCCATGCACAGGCTGTTGAGTGAAATTTCTAAGACTACTGTTAACAAATACTTCCAATTAACAAAGTCAAAGTTTAAAGTTTTAGTGATGTAAGTACTTAGTCTTCTTAAGCTAGATAGATAGCTTAGAAGAAAAGAGAATGGAACAGGACTTCAGAAAGGGAGCGGGTAACGACTCAGACAGAAAGGAACCCCAGAGTTCCTCATCTAGCCTTGAATCAATGGGGTTTCTATGGACAATTTGTGGGGAAAATTACCCAGCCTATCAGTACCCGACCCATAACTCTAGGATCCAGGCATTGGCCTTGGCCCTGCTGTCTAAGGACATGGATCCGTCTAATTCAGTAGTCATCAGTCACTTTGATGACTGCCATGCAAACTCTGATTTACCTCATTTCACCATGTAGCCATCCTTTAGAAAAGAATGCCGTGGAAACATGTTGTGAAAATTATAACATTTCCCCCCTAAAAGGTAACATTTGGGTATAAACAACTTTGAGTTTACATTCAACAGACGTGTTAACTTTCATTCATTGCAATGTTGATGTGGATATGTGAGATGCTAAGGCTTGTCATTTCCAATATTATAAGTATCTATTACAGATACTGGTCTTGATGCTTAGTTTAAAAAGAAAGGAAACTCTCTTGAGAGTTCAGTGCACGGGAAATTTCTACCAATGTTTCTCTTCTAAGGTAAAATGTTACATGTTATCTGGGTATTGTTTGTTGCATTCTATTTAAAGTTCTCTGTTTTCTCTTTTTAAAAATGCATGAGAACAGAGAGTGTTCATTCAGATGTCGCATGGGCTGTCTGCCTATCGATATTTTCATCTGCACTGTATGTGAAATGTTGTCCGTGTAGCAAAACTACATCCGAATGAATGTGGATACTTTGCTGTTGGACTAAATGTAGTTTCTTTCTGGCTTGCTTGAGAAAACACTGAAGAATAAGGCTGTATGAAGGCGTCCAGACTTCCCGTTCTAGTAGTTTGGTGTCTATGTTCTTGGCATATTCCTGGCCTTTGAAAAATCAATGGGACTGAACCCTGACTTTTTCTTAAAACTTGAGCAGACTAGATTGTAGCTATGTTCTAAACATTTGCACCTTGGTTATTTTGAATTAATTTGAAGCACCCTTCAAAAATATTTTAATTATTAATCCTGCAAGAACCCTTTATTTGTTTTTTTGTTTCTTCCTCTTGGTTTTTTACAACAGGAAATATTAAATGTCGAAAAAAGTACCATGCCATTATCCAAATTATCTTTTACTTAGTACCAGTTTAAACATTGATTACATTGAAAATCATTTCATTTCAGCCACAGCGTCCTGTGTTTACTCATGAAAACATTCAAGGTGGGGGGGAACCGTAAGTATTCTTCTTATCTTCTAAATTCAAAACTAACCTTGACTCGCAAAATGGATGGCTGATGTACCCAAATAGAGGATGGTACAGGTAGGCAAGTGGACGAGGTCAAGGTCACTAACCTGAGATCTCCTGGAGCAACAGGGGTCACAATACTCTTCACCTTTCATAGCAGGGAGCAGCTAATTGTACAAAGAAACCTGTGGTCTCAGACAAGACCGATTTACGCACTAGAGAAGCCTTCCAAAGCTACAGCAGTGCCTACGATCGGTGACGCTGTCTCCCAATCTGTTCACTCACCGTGGAGATTCTAGGGTCCAGCTCTAAAGACACAGAAAATGTCCTAACATTGTGTTTGCACATAGTTAGGGAGCAGGAAACTGGAACAGTAGACCTAAAGTGATGAATTAGTGACATAATTTCAGAGTTACATCCCGAGAAGGGTCTTTGGAAATGGCAGTACCGAAAATGCACTGCCGTGCAGTTAATGCCTGTCCACACTTTCAAATTCCCTCTCCTTGCCGACGTGCGTCAAATCAACCTGAAGATGTCAGGCATTGTCTTTAAGACTCCTGTGTGGTGTGTTCTTCAGCTCCATGTTCGCCCATGAGAGAGGCTCAGGGGTGATCTACCTCCTATCGGCTCCTGCCTATGCTGTGAGTCAGGAGCCGATCCTGGAGGGTGAGATGTGGGCACATCTGAGCACACCCGTGACCTGCAGCCCACTGCGCGAGCAAGGCCGCAGGGCCTGGTGTGCGGCCTGGTGCCCCATCGCCACGCGGCCCCTCACCCGCACAGACCTGAAACTCGGCATGCTCTTCAGAAACCACCTTCCAGCCGAGACTGGCTCCCACCGAGTACAACCAGAAGGTCTTGTTAAGAAAAAGACTAGGGAACGAACATTCCAATTTTTGTTTAATTGGAAAAAATTTGAAGTATGGCCTGTAATTCTAAAGTTTCAGGTTGTCTTCTTATTGACGCAAACGACGATAGGATCACATCACACAAAAACACATTCCAGGGCTGTTTAGGTTTATTGTGTTACCAACAGATTATAGTAGTGGTTTTTAAGGGTTTTATGAAGTAATATTATGTTGCACTGTTTTATGTAAAATGAGTCAATATGTCCAGTTGTGGTCATTTGAGTGTTTATGAAACCAGCAAGCTCACAGGTGGGAGAAGGCATTTTTCCCAAGTCCTGCTTCGGACATTATAAAACACAATTAATAAACATTCTATTTCATTAATAAGCATAATAAAACATTCTCTATTGGACTACAACCCCAATTAGTAGGATAATGGGGTATCGTTTAAAAGTGTTCACTTAAAACATAGGTTTTGGATGAACACGGAGATAATACTTTATGTCACTACACTTCAGAATTATGGTGAAACAGAGAAAACGTTGAAGTCAGAGAATTGAAGTGTGGCCCAGCTTTTCCTGTTTTAAAACAAAGGTCGTTTTGAGTCATCCTGACCCCACCACCATCATTCCCCTCACCAACACGTCTTTCAAAACAGCGTTTTTATTGTCATTCGGCTGCATTTCCCACAGTGCAACACTGATTTTAAAGCCACATGAGGCTTCCCTGAAACTCCCCCACCCCTGCCCTTTTTCTGTGGTCTAACTAAACCAGAATGGTAAGTAAATTTTGACAGGCACCCTGGCTTTCGTCACACCAAAGTGAAGTCGAAGTTCATGCCAATTTTGGGTTTTTTTTTTTAGCTCTTGGGACCTTGAGGTTCCTCAAGCAGCTGGGATTTGTGGCCTTAAATAGGCCTGTCTCGTAAGTGCTTGGAGATGTGCCGGGGTGAAAATGGAGCCTGAACCGCTCAGTGGGACAGTCAGTGTTTCCCAAGGGGACTCGATGTATATGCCCTGAATTAGCAGCTGGGGAAGGAAGGACCGTCTCCCTCAGGTGCAAAATTGGAAAAAGAACTATGTTGCAGTCAACTTGCCCCATGGATATACAAAACATATCACCCCTTGACCTGAGGGGCCTCAAAGTCAAACCCTCAAAGCAAACAACTAAGTAACTCCTCTGACCAGAGCTGGCCACATGGCAAACCTCCACCTAAGTAATGCTGGTCTTCGACGCCTCTCTGGCTTTTTTGCCACTGTTCTGAGACTCTGGCCACCTTGCTCTGCCCTTCCCCATAATCGGAATCCTCTCTCACCAAAAGACCTCAGAAGCCCAATCTCAAAGAGTACAAGCGGCTGAACAGTTGTACTAAGAGGACGAAGTATTAACAGGGGCAGAAATCTCCAGGGTTGAAATGTCAGACTGGCCAGAGCCAGGGAAGATATATTTCTAGGAGGTATTAGGCTCCACGTCTTACCTACTCTTTCCCAGACACCCCCACTAAAGCCAACTGTATCCAGGTCCCCCCGATCTGAACAAGTTCACAGACAGACAGGAAAGCCAATGGAACATCTCCCTGATTTATGATGACGTTTGAGCCCACGTGATAGAGTGGTTTTGTTCCACCAATATATGACATTATGACTGAATGATGAAATTAGACACAAACTTAAAGTTGGCTTTTTAAAAATCCAAAATGCCCTGAAATGGGGTTCTTATTTTCTCACGTTGGCAGAATTACATGACTGTTACAAAAATGCAGAAACAAATTCATTGATTTTTTTTGAAACCCCCCTCCCAATGCTGATAATATTCTAGAAGCATGTAACGTTTTCATCTTAACAGCATAGCCAGTGCTTCCTGACCTCCTCAGATGCTAGAATTTGTCTTTGCTTTTTAAAATGCAGTCCATGTGAATATGCATTAAAATACAAGTTGTTTTATCACCAGAAATTCAATGTCTGAATTCGTTACTGATCAATGTCACCATAATATATGCCTCTAAAGAATTCAGACAGAAAAAGGAAAGTGTTAGCATTTTATCAGCAATTTTTTCTTATGTAAAGTTATTTCAAGAGAGAGTTTTTACATCAAAAATAATTTCTCCAGGACCTCGTAGGAAGGAACTTATGCCCATAATGTACCTGCTCTTTGAGGTGAGCTCCACAGTGACGGAGCGTAGACCACATCCACTTCACCTCCTAAGTGGATAACAGCAGGTTTTCAAATTCTAAATCCAAGAACACACTGACTCAAACTATGAAACCAAACTGCTTTAAAGAATTCTTCCTGGTGAAAAATAATAATCATGCTCTCTTTTATAGTAATCCCCCCGCAGTGATTTGGAAGACATGTGTCTGAGGCATTTGGTACAACTCTATTAAGAATCATTTGAAAATTCAGCTTGCAAACCACAATTCATTCTTTCTGATGATAGCTTAAACTGTCATTCCTTGTTTTTATACGGTTGAATAATGTACTCGGCACTTCTTTTATATTCTGTACCATTATTTGACGTCTGAAGGCTAGAGAGCGATGGCTGGCCAGTGAAATGTGGGTCTGACCTGTAAATGTTAAAATGTTTTAGTCCAACTCATGGGTGTTATAATCTTCCACGAATGTGCCTCAATGCGAGTTCTGAAATGCTAATAGAATGATTTAATTCCCACGAGAGTCCAAATATTTTCCTTTACATGTTTACCAAAGACGTATGCTACCTAACCATAATGTGATAATAAGGATAGAAATGTTAAAAGTAAAATTAATAGTGTATATCTTTTATAGTTTTGCAAAGGTGTAAATATTTTTAAAAAACACACCCATTTGTCCTGTTTAAGATTTCAGGCTCTGTATAACTATACCCCTAGGAATGAAGATGAGCTGGAGCTCAGAGAAGGTGACATCATCGATGTGATGGAAAAATGTGATGACGGATGGTTTGTGGGTAGGTGTACATTTCCTTTCAGGCCCATGTGGCCACTTTAAATGCGCTTGTGTTTGCTCCCTTGCGAGGCGGGAGGTGACATCGAGCTTTCGCTGAGTCCGTAATGTCTTTGGTCCTGCGTACGTCCCTGTGCTCTGTGCAACGCCAAGGCAACTGCACTTCTGATACCAGTCAGTAGCGGCTGCTCAGGTGGCTGCGGCTTTCTGCTCAACTGGGAGGAGAAAACTATCAATAGCACCAACCAGGAAAGACTGGGATTTCAAGAACAACAACAAAAATGTCCCCTAGGTAAGAAATATGACCACTCCGTTCAGTGGAGAGTGTGAGTTGTCAGTGTGAGGGTCAGTGTGAGGGAACACGGTCCAGTGCACAACTCGCCCACATCCGCGGTCTGCGTAGCCACCCTAACAGTCCGCTGATCACCTTAGCCCTGGTCTGCGGAGAAAGCAGAGACGTTCCCTTCTCAGCGCTGAAGGAACAATCTCATGCTTACATCTTGAGAGCAGATAGCATCATACCCCGGGACACACAGGAAGGGGTCAGAAAGGAACAAAGGCACGGGAGGATGGACCAGGCAACAGGTGAGGGTTTGAGGACTTTCTCTGGACAGGCGTCCGTAAGGAAATAATAGAAGAACCACAGCCACGCTGCAGCCACAAGCCTGTGCTCGGTTCCTATGGATTCACCACGTGGAATAGAAGTGACAGGGCTTACCTCCCCGGGGACAAGGAACATCAGTCGTCACACCAGACGCGAAGTCCCAGGGCGCGCGTGAGCAGTGGAACTGTGCAGACCTGCTCACCGGTGAGCTGGAGACCCTGAGGATGAAGGGGGCGCACCAGCTTTTACAAAACGGTGCAAAGGCAGCATGTTCTTGGAAACCAAAGGCGAGTTTTCCTTCAGCAGAGACTTAGAGGCGGCCTTCAAGAGACAACGCCACAGTCTGAAGCGGTGACTCCGATTGCTGACAGTCTCCAGCCCTCCAGGCGGCGGCTGCAACACCCGCCTTTAGGAGCCGCCATGCAGAGGCTTCAGGTCAGCAGGCCAGCCAGGTAACCGGTCTCGCCTCCTCCACAACCACATCAAAATGACAACTGAACTGCAGAACCACCATCATTCAGAACCGCCTGACATCGAGCTGAATGGAAGTCCTACAACTACGGAATTAAAGCAGCAGCCACACTGAGATAGATGTAGGAGGGCGGAGGGGATGGGTTGGTCCCACAACCACGTGTGGTGGATAAAAATCAGGAGGGTAATCTCAGCTGGGAAGGTCCTCCCTGAGGAATGAGGGGTCCCCGTCCCACACCAGGCACTCAGCTCAGGGTCCCAGTGCCAGGAAGAGAATCCCCATGATTCTGGCTGGAAAACCAGTGGGAACTGAGGCTGAGGGAGGCTGGGGCTACAGGAGTCCCAGGCAGCTCCTCAAAGGGCCCGTGCACAGACTCACTCAGACTCACTCCCTCCAGGCTCCAGTGTGCCGGAGATATATGGAGAAAGAACTGAGTTGTTTGACATTGGGACGAGGGCTGGAGAGGAGGGTTTCTCCGGGACAGAGGTGCTGGCAGAGGCCGTTGTTCCTTTGGTGAGCCCTTCCCTGGGGGCAGACAGCCACCATACCTGGGACTCCAGCAACCTGGCTCACACTGGTGGCCCCGCCCTGGTGACTCCCTGAGGCCCCGCCCCACCCAACTTTCAGGCCCACCCAAGCTGTTCCCCGTGGCTGACCATAGGATTGGCCTGTCTTGGATCCTGCTTCAGATTTTCCTAAATTATCTCAAACAAGCATCATCTGGTCTCAGTGAGCCCCATACTTCTTGTTAAGTGGCCCCAGACCTGGCACTAGAAGCAGCCAGCCTTGGTTCACACTTGGCTTTTCCTGGGCACCTCCAAGCCCAGCACAAGAACAGCCGTCTGCAGATCACTTTGTAGCCTATGCTGGGTGGCCCCAGGTAGAACACAGGCAGTGGCTGACCTGGCCCCAGAGCCAGCACACCCAGTGGACAGCTCCAGACCACATCGAAGCACCACCACCCAACCACCTCCACAAGTGACACACTGAAGGAGTGGACTCAGTGGGTACCAGAGCCCTGAAAGTAAGTCTTGCTCTGTGTGGTGGGCCCCTGCACAGCTGATCCTCCAAGGTGGTCAGTGATTAGTGGGCACAGCCAGTCCTTGTAGCTGATCAGCCTCTCATTAGTGTACCAACAGCAATCAAGACTCAATTACAATAGAAGGGTGTAAAGTTCACACGAGGGGTGCACCTTGAGGGCCCAGCTGGGAGACCAGGGAGTCTGTGCCATTGGACCCTTCAGGACAACCCACTACAATAGGCCACCCTAGGAAGCCCAGGAGACATAGCAACTCTACCTAATACGTAGAAACAAACACAGGGAGGCAACCAAAATGAGGAGACAAAGAAACAGGTCCCCAATGAAAGAACAGAACACAACTCCAGGAAAAGAACTAAATGAAATGGAGATAAGCAACCTAACAGATGCAGAGTTCTAAACACTGCTTATAAGGATGTTCAATGAACTTAGTAAGGATGTTCAAGAACCTCAATGAACTTAGTGAGGGCTTCAAGAGCATAAAGAAGGACCAGTCAGAAATGAAGGGGGCACTAACTGAAATAAAGAATAATTTACGCAGATTCAATAATAGAGTAGGTAAAGCCAAGAAGCAAACCATCGATTTGGAATATAAGGAAGCAAAAAACACCCAATCAGAACAGCAAAAAAAAAAAAAAAAAAAGAATTCAAAAAAGGAGGATAGTGTAAGGAACCTCTGGGACAATGTCAAGCCTGCCAACATTCACATCATGGGGGTGCCAGAAGGAGAAGAGAGAGAACAAGAAATTGAAAACCTATTTGAAACAATAATGACAGAAAACTTTCCTAACTTGGTGAAGAAAACAGATATACAAGTCCAGGGAACACAGAGAGTCCCAAACAAGATGAACCCAAGAGGCCCACATCATAATCAAAATGCCAAAGGTTCGAGACAAAGAGAATCTTCAAAGCAGCAAGAGAAAAGCAGTTAGCTACCTACAAGGGAGCTCCCTAAGACTCGCAGCTGATTTCTCAAAAGCAACTTTGCAGGTCAGAAGGAAGTGGCAAGAAATATCCAGAGTGATAAAAAGCAAGACCCTATAACCAAGATTACTTATCCTGCAAAGCTGTCATTTAGAATCGATGGACATATAAAGAGTTTTCCAAACAAGAAAAGCTAAAGGAGTTTATCACCACCAAACCAGTATTATATGAAATGTTGAAGGGTCTTCTTGAAGAAAAAGATAAAAAATATGAACAAACAAAATGGCAATAAATACATATCTATCGACAATTGAATCTATAAACAAAATGAACAAACAGAACAGAAACATTCTCACAGATAGAGAACATTTTGTTGGTTGCCAGATGGGAAGGGGGTGGGGTAATGGGTAAAAAAGGTGAAGGAATTAAGAAGTACAAATTGGTTGTTAGAATGACAAACCTCAAAGGGAAGGGGGATGAGGGTGTGGGAAGAAATAAACCAAAGAACATACATGCATAACCAATGGACACAGACAACAGTGTGGGGAAAGGCAGGAGGGGGGCAGGAGCGAGGAAGAGGGGGTCAGTAGGGGAAAAAGGAGGATCATCTGTAATACTTTCAACAATGAAGATAAGTTTAAAAAAAAAAAGAAACCAAAGATGATCATAACAATGGCCATCTGTGCATTTGATTTTACTCACAGTAGAAATTGTGCCCAATACTAGAACCCCATCCACAAATAGTGGTTTATCATTTTTTCCTTTAGTGACTTTGTAAATTGTTCACATTCTCTACATTTTATTTTGGAGGCTGGCAGTGCTATTTGTAAACGAACCATATGGCATTCAGCATGATCTTCCAGGAGACCATAAAGCCAGAGAGTGACAGTGTCCCCTAGTGCCTTAAAGTGACACCTGCTTTGAGGCGTGACAGACTTCCGGATCAGTGAACTAACCTGGCTGTTTCGCGCCACACTATCACACTGCCAGCCTCGTCCTTATTTAGAAGATCATACCCAAAAATGTCACTCTCCAAATGCTCTTCCTGTTCCATTCCTCACTCTTGTCTAGCAGCTTTGGTGTTGAAGTCCCACTAATTAGACTTAAAAATCCAGCTCACAGCAGGATTGTCTCCCTTCGGAGTGAGAGGCTGAGCTTTTCTGTGCAGCCTGGTGTGAGGGAAGAAAGCGTTGACTCCTTGGCACGAACGCACAGTCAGCACAGATAAGACAGCTGTACTTCTAAGGTCTCCAAGTGCATCCTCCAAACCCTGGCTTGCTCACTCTGCGAAGCCCTGCTCGCTCAGTTTCCAAGTCCACGTGTATGAACTGACGTTTCCTTGTGATCATCCCCTTTCATGTGTTGCTTCTGTTCACAGGAACCTCAAGAAGAACCAAATTCTTTGGTACTTTCCCGGGAAACTATGTCAAGAGGCTGTGAACCGCCCTCCCCCATTGATGCTGCATTTCAGCACATCTGCCGTCACCTGCCTGAAAGGTGCCACCCGCCGCAGGCCTCCCGCTGTCATGCCTTATGGTTTCCAGTAGAAGTCACCCCACCACCAGCTCCACCCGCCACCGAACCAGCAGCAAAGTAACTGCCAGGGCCCCAGGGAGGTTGGCAGGCTTGTTCCACGGTGACAGTGCACATTCCTGCTTCTGCTCTGAACTGCAAAGTCTGTGTGTTGGGATCAGAAAGAAAACCGCTCTCCTCTAGAAAGGCTTAACTACTTGAGGCAAAAAATGCAAGTGTCTCAAGGAGGCTCCCCGGTCCACTTTGGAAGATGCCTCTCCCCTCAGGCAACCAGAAGATGGTTGATCACTAATGAACCGTGGTGTGCATTTCCACACTCTTAGCTTGGCAGTGTATTTTCCTTTCACAAGTTTGCCTAGTGTCCTCGTTTACACAATATGACAACTGTACTTCAGCTATCGTTTGCCTGCACTTATATGTTGTAATATGCACAGTGATCACAAAACCCACAGCAGGAGCGGGGAAGTTCATTCGGATGAGTGTGATTTTTGTTCATTGAATGTGAGTTTTCAAATAGCAGCCTTTTCCTGCAATTCTTTTGTACTTTTTAGAAGTGCAAACAGTAAGTGAATAAGAGCTTTTGGTAATAATCATGAGACTATAAGCAGTTTAGCTAGACTACAAATAAAAAAAAATATTGTGTTGTAAAGTTGCATTGCTATTTTATATTAAAATGTAATAATCAGCATCATAAACAAGGAGCTCTTAGTGTTTTATTTATCTGATAAAATTTAAATAAAAGCAGTGTTAGTGAGAGGTGCAAAAAGTTATTCTAACATAGACACTTGAAAGTATCCGTAAGCAATATTCATAGTTAAGATTTCACTGTGTGTGCACATATACATTTGCGATTGTATGAGAACAGGCAATCCATATGATATGCTGTACGTTTTATGGAAATGTAAAAGAAGCCCACACATTATTTTATAGAAAAAGAGTACTTTAGAAGCATCACAGGTATTAAGGCTGGTTTTAGCAAGGATTAGGATCAGTACAATTATTTTTACTATGATAACTATTTTTCTTCTATGGAACTCAGAATCCTGGCTACATTTGAGGACAGGAGTATGTTGAGCCTGATTTTCCTGGTGTGTGTAAAATATTTCCTCGAAATACATTAGGCACTTTTTAGAAGCAATGTTAAATCACTCAGGTTCAATTTTCTGCCCTGAAGTAGAAATTTACAAAATGATATTGGGACCTGAAAGATTTAATGTGGTTCAGTGCCAGAATCACACACCCCTGAGAATTAGCTTTGTATTTCTTATGACTTTGCCTAAGAACTATTCATATTTGGATCTTGAGCACCTTATAGATAAAACTTTTTATGGCATTTCTTCTGTGGACAGTGATTGATCTTTTCACGATGTACGTAGACTCTAGAATTTTGTACAGATGTTTGCTCTTTTTTTTTTTGTACAGACTATTTAGCTGTTGAGAAAACAAGGGAATTTCCTAACTTGGTCTTTATCCTTCACTGAAACTAAGCTGAAGATTATTCTTTACATATCCCACAGATCATAAGCACGCCTTGATAGTGTGATTCTGTAAGATAGCATCCGTGCAAAAGTTTATGAGCTTAAAAGATCTAAGCAATCAAATGGAAACGTACGTAAATACCGAGCACAGAGGAATGTCAATAGGAAGAAAGTAAAGAGACATCTGTGAGCAGCCTGGCTTGGTTGCTGTCAAGTTCACTACCAGCTTTATACTTTAAAGGCTTTGGGTTTAAAATGAGGTCACCTGCATGCAGCTTTGCTGATAAATGAAATTATCTCCCATGCCATTTATGGGGAAAAACTTCAATATCTGTTGCCTGTCATATTTAAGAAAAAATACTGTTTCTACTCCCTGTATCTGCTTTTAAAAGAAAAAAATATTCATACCTGGCTTGCAGGTAATTGACTTTGAATTCTTACAAGCAAAGGTCATTGTGTTTTTCTTGAATAGACATCTTAATAAATTTTGCTTGGAATTATACTTTAGTCTTTCTTCTTGACATTTATCCTCAAGTGAATTGTGTATTTCATCCCAATTTGTTAGATAAACCACTTGCTCTGTATTCTCTAGACATACCAATGGAGAAAATAATGTATCTGCAACAGCTCAGAGAAGAAATACTTTTTTTTCCTTTATTGATTTTAGAGAGAGAAGAAGGGAGATGGAGAGAAAGATAGAAATATCAATGAGATCGAACATCGATTGGCTTCCTCCTGCATGCTTCCCACTGGGGATCGGGCCCACAGCCTGGGCATGTGCACTGACCAGGAACAGAACCAGCGACCTCTTGGTGCATGGGTTGACGATGCTCAACCACTGAGCCATAACGGCAAGAGAAAAAAAATTGTTTTTATCCTCACCCAAGGACATTTTTCCATTTTTTGCTCAGATAAAGTGGGAAGGAAAGAGAGAGAAAGAAACATTGATGTGAAAGAGACACATCGAGTGGTTGCCACCCACACGACCCAACCAGGGCCAGGGACAAACTGCAACCGAGGTACATGCCCTTAGTGGGAACCAAACCCGGGTCGCTCTGGACCAAAGGCCAACACTCTAACCGCTGAGCCAAACCGGCCAGGACCAAGAGGAAATATTTTTTAACCTACCACCAAAGCTCACTTGCTAAACACACTTTGGCTAAAAAATTGCTCTTCAGCTAGAACAACACATTAAAATATTTCTGTCTCCTAAACAGCTCTTTTTTCCAAGGAGAAGTTAATCGCAAGGAGGTATAAGCACTTTCCCAATTCAACCATGTTATTATTCAAAAGCCTTGCCCTAAAAAGCGTTATCACCACCTGGCGTGTTAGGCTCACGTAGTACTCACAAGCTCTCAATGAATTTCAGATTAGGCGCAGCAGGTGGGGGTCGCTGCTTTTCCTCACACAGACGGCAGACAGCGAGCCAGCCCTCCCTGCCCCCTGTCTAAACACACGTATCTGGGATTTTTAAAACACACGCATCAAAACCTGGATTTCCTTGTCCCGCCTGAGAATGAATCCCTTGTGCTTCTCTGTAAAATCTGCCGAGGTGCAGCCACAACTTTATCCAAGCCCTCACCAGCGGGGCGATGTGCCCGGGCCTCTGTCACAGCTGTCTGGGCATGGCTGTGGGTCCCGAACCCCTGCAGCCCTGGGGACCCTCCTGCCGTGGTCGTCACTGTCCATGCCAGGATTCTGGGTAGACCATTGAGTTACTTTGCTTCAGAATTGTTGAATAACCTATTTTACTTGCCTTTATGCCGATGCACGCTCATAGTTACACACTAAATGTTACTGAAACATCCCATGTATGTCTCTGAAAACCGCCCTGGGAGGTGGCGTCGCATCTGTTGTTGTGAACATGGTGCAATGTGGCCTGGACAGCACGGTCCCCATTCATCGGTCTGTCTGCTCACATCTGTGCGTGAACCGGCCACACAGGTCAGAGGAAGTGTCACCAGCAAGGGACCTCTGAGAGTTTATGTGCCAAGTTCTAATCCTTCCTGCAGCTATGCCCTCACGAAACGGGGATGTCCATTTCTTAATGGATGGAAGCAGAAAGAACCTGTGTGGGTTACTGCCTCCTTCCATGACCGTTCACTGCTTCATCTCTGCCTGGGTGGTCAGTTTCTTCCTACTGTTCTCCAGAGTTCACACACAAAAGAAGAAATACTCTTTAGAGAGTCATTTGATCGAATAGACTATGCACTCGATGAGTTTCCACGAACCCATTTATTTAAAGATTTAATCATCTTCCTTTCCCGATTGTAGGCCTCCAGCAGTTGTTTATGTATTAGTTATGAGTTCACGTCGCTTGCTCATCGTGGGGGACTGGGTCGGAGCACAAGCAGAGACTGGCGTTATTAATGGACAGTCGAAGCAGGAACTGGCAAAGCATGGCCTGTGGACCGAATCCAGCCTGCTGCCTACTCGAATGGCCGCAAGCTAAGAACGGCTTCTACGGAAGAACATGGGCATCCGTGTGATGATAGGAAACACTAACTTTGAACCCCAATTCAGTGAAATGTTGTCTCCCCAGAAAAAAACCCTTTCTTTTCACTGGAAGATCTATCTATATCAGAAAAACTTTACCCTAGTATTATTATATTTTGCATATCATAAAAAAATTGGCGAAGTTTGTTTTTTCTTATGTAAGTACATACATTATATCCTCAATTTTGCCTCCTGGCCCACAAAACCTAAAACACTATGTACTCTCTGTCCCTTTACACAAGAAGCCTGTGAACACCTGTCTACGCTCATTGTCAGCAGCAAACCTGGAAACTGACTAGAGGGGAAGGAATATTGAAATTCTGCTACACGCCAGACTGTCATTTTACACATGGTCCTTGTCTTCATCCTCCCAACAAACCCAAAAGGAAACCTGCTTTATGCCCACTTTAGAGATGAGAAAGCTGAGGCTCTGAGGTGGTTACAAAATATGGGATGGGACGGGATTCAGGCCCTGGTGCGCCGTTTCCCAAGCCGGTCCGCTTCCTTCCAGACACACTACTGATGGCACTGCGCGCCCCTGTTTAAGCTACATCCTCCACCTCCTTTCCCCCCCGCCAGTCTCACGGACGCATCATGAACGGCCACTCACAGCAGCACCTTGCTGTGCACAAGAAAGGGCATGTGCTCAGGCCAGGAAAACAGTGTTTCCCAAGGAAAGCTAACTTTGGTTTTCAAAAGTATACAGTGGCCCATGAGGATATAGTTTCAATTACCGACCTGTTTTAACTGAACTTGAGCTTGCCCATGCACTTGATTCATTAGGCCCTAGCGGCTGTTGGCAGTGAGCCAGCTCAGCAGCTGGCGGTGGCTTTGGGAAGTGCTTGGTAATGTCACTTGGAGACAGGCAAGCCCAGCGTGCTCTAGGAACACGGTGTGCTCACTGGACATCTTTCAATCGACAAAGCCCCAGGATATGTATACTAGCCATTCTCTGCTAGGTGACTCACCAAGCAACCAGGAGCTTAGCTCACTGCTAAATTCAGCCCCTCTGGAGCTCAGGAAAGTTCCATCTGAGCTCATGCACATACATATATCTTGACCCAAAAACCTTTCCGTACAAGACAAACCTCTGCCTGGTAAATCTTCACCTGCCCCTTTGGGGTTTCTTGTTTCATCTTTTTTCCTAAAATATGATAGGTGACTCAATTGTCCCCATGTTTTCCAAAAATAAGTGCCATTTCAAATAAACCCATTAAATAAATAATAAATTACCATTAACACCACCAGTGGGGGGGGGGGGGTCAGATCTCGCACCGATATTACAGAAAGCTTGAGAGTGAGTTTTTTAAATAATTTTTAATTATATAAGCAATAGATGTATATTGTAGAAAAATAGAAAATATAAATGAACAAAAAGAAGAAATATAGAATCACTGAGAGGTCCATTTTTTAGGATAAACATTACACTTCGAAACATATCCCTCTGGAGTATTTCTCTGCACATGCATAGAAGTGTGTGTGTGTGTGTAACATGCAGGCAAAAGTGGGATCATACTGAACATATTATTGCATAACCTGCACTTAATACTAAGCAGGACTCCAAAATAAAATGAATAAATCATGTTTTCAAGTCAATTTGATATTATTAAGTTTATAAAAAGAGTGAGGAGCCCTGGCCAAGTTGGCTCAGCAGTTAGACTGTCTGCTTGCAGACCAAATAGTCACGGGTTCAGTTCTGGTCAAGGGCAGGTACTTTGGTTGCAGTTCAATCCTGGCCCTGGTTGAGGTCATGTAGGAGGCAGTGTGTCTCTCTCACATCGATGTCTCTCTCTCTCTCTCTCTCTCTCTCTCTCTCTCTCTCTCTCTGTCTCTCCTTCCCTCCCTCCCACTCTATCTGAAGATAAATGGAAAAAAAGCCTCCAGTGAGGATTTTTAAAAAATCTGAAGAAAAGTCAAAGTCAATCCCCAGGGCTCATGAAAATGCAATTAATTCAAAACCAAGAGACAAAAATTACAGAATTACCACTAATAATGTCTCAATCTGAGGAGCTGGTAGAGGAAAGAAAGAAAAGACAAAGAGACAAAAGAAAATAATAGTATGTCTGTCCCATAAGCCATCTCATGCATTAAGGCCTGTTTATGGCTAAAGGAAAAGATGTTAAACTGAAAACTGTGATCCCCAGAGCAGCAGGTGCAACATGCGAACCATCCCAGTTAGCCAAGTGCACAAGTTTTGAATCCAAGCTCACAGAACAGGAGAACTGTTGAGCAGGTCAGCTTACACCCTTTCCCCCTTCCCCAGAGCGCGCACACACACCTAGAGCCACCCCAACAGAGGATAACAGTAATGTAAGAAAACAATTCTAGGTCCTAGGGGGTAAACCTTAGCAAGATCTTCTTCCTCGTTGTTAATTACAGAGGAGGAAACCCCCCATCAATCCACCCTACAGCAGCAGCTCTAGGGAGGGGGTCCCTATCTCTGATCTTAACTTTCTCCATCGTCTTACATGTCTGCACATTAGTAATACAATCTTTTATGGAGTCTTAGGTCATTCAACAACATTTGCGGAACCTTTAGAATGTAAGGCGAGGTACTGAAGCACCATCTCTTTTTGGCACATTCGCTGAACTCCTCTTGGTGGCTGAAGCCTTCTGTACGGGCCTGCGGAGAGGCCACCTAAGCTTGTTGTGTCTCCACGGGCTCCAGGGATTTCTGGATGATTCTCCAGAACCCTAGGTCCCCAATTTTGCAAGGACTACTTCCATGATGGTCACCCCATCCACGAGAGACACAGCTCATTTCAAAATTGTAATTGCGCAGCTTGGCAAGATGAGCTGAGGGGCAACCAAGAAACAGCAAAGGATACCTGGATCTCTCCAGATAATGCCTCGGACCCTCCGACTGCTCAGGTCTCAAGTTGGCACCTGCTCCACTCGACCAGGCCAGTCGATATGTTTCACCACGTGTTCTCAATCATTTGCTTTA